TAAAAAAATTAATCTACATTATAATTAATAAGAATAATATCCAAAATCGTGGGAGAATAATTATTTCGATAAAAAGAAATAATAATTAATAGCTCGAGATACAAAAAAAAAAAGGAAAAAAAAAGAAAAATTACTTAAAAGCATATAATTATTACGGGAAGAACAAAAAACTATGCATAAATGTAACACGCGTGTGTAAATGGAGAGGGATAGGGGGGGGGAGGGAAGCAGAGAGGCTAGTAGGAAGGTAACAACTTGTTGAACGTGAAAAACAAAACGATAAAGATCCTTGACTAAAATTTCAAACGTAATTTTCGCGTTTCGAGTTCCCGCACCCCTCACTCCCTCCCCCACACGGCTCTCGCTCTTTTTGTTTTTTAATCTTTTTCTTTTTTTTTTCTTTTAATATATTTTTTTTCTTTTTGCTCCCTATTAAGGAAAGGTACCTTCGTTATCACAAAATATTAGCTGTTCTGTCCTGGCTCGCTTAATAACTGTCTTCTTGCCGAGCCAATTAGTGCGAACGGGTTGCTCAACCCGGAGCGGATAATCTATATTTAATTACCCCTTCACCCTCTCACGCGAACACACGACCTTTTACGGCTTAAAATATACGCATATATATAATAGAATGGGAGAGAGAAAGAGAAATGCATATACGGTACACCAGCCTAATAGTCGACTGCATCGAACAAGTGAAAATAATTAGTCCAATATATATATATATATATATATATATACATATGTATGTGTATATAAGCGAATAGAAAATCCTAGTGACAAAATTAAAAAAGCATATATATGAATTTATATATATTATATGTGTATATATAAGGACTATATATATATAATATGTATGGATATATGTGTATGTAAAATTTATATGATAAATATATATGTGTATGTAGATATATATTATATGTATATATAAGTCTTTTCTATTTCTATACTATATAATATACTGGTTGTTACATTTTGAAATAGATACACGTATCCTACGATTATATAAATAAACATTTATAATTTTACTCGATTTTTATGTGTGTGTATGAAATCATATATAATATATATTTATTATTACAATAATTATATAAAATTTCATATATCGATAAAGAAAAATTGATATTTAATTGAAAAATTTTGTTATGTTTAAAATCGTATAAAAAAAATAATAACCAATTTTCAATATATATATCTTTCTTTTCTTTTTTTTGTTAAATATTCATAATATTCAATATATTGGTTGGAATTGTATGAAATGAGACACCGGTTATATGGCAGAAAAATTTGCCAACGTAACTAAACGATTTTAATCCAACGCGACTTATCACCTTTCTCTCTTTCTTTCTTTTTTACATACACACACACACACACACACATATACACTCACCCACTCACCCGCCGCACAGAGTCACAAATATCTATATAGATCTACGTATATATGTGTATATATATGCATATCCTATGTAGATTTTCACAATTTGGAGTTATTTTCAAGCGTAGTATGGGGTAGCAACGATTAAAAGGGAAGATTTAGAATGTCACCATGCCGTAAGTTGAATTCCTATTCTCCCTCCGACAAAGGGATGATCTTTTCCAACAGCAAAAATGTCGAGAATAGAAAAAAGAAAAAGAGAAAGAATGATAGAAGATGGTTTCATCCCTTATCTACGGAAGGATAAGGGGAAGAGAATTGGAAAGGGGTGGACATGCGGTGAGAAAAAGGAGAAAACAAAAAAACGGAAGAAAAAAGGGAGGAAAATGAAATCCAAAAAGGATGCCATTAGATCGGATATACACACACACACGCGCACACATATGTATAAACAAATACATTGTGTACTAAAAATTAGGAAACATTGATTGATTTTAATTACAAAAGTCAAATACAACCCCATAAATATTGAAATAATTATATCGTTGTTATTAAAAATAATCTTATGACGATTTTTCAAGGATCCTCAAAATTTTCTTATTTTCATAATGATTCTCGTATAGGTTTCTTTTTTATCTCCCCCACTCCCTCCCCACCCTCTCTCTCTTCCCAGTTAATAACAAATGCATTTATTGAACGAATTTTTTAAATCGTCTTTGATCATTTTTACGAGTAATATGGGGAAAAAAAATATTCGAATATAATAAAACACTCGATAAAACTATAATAATTAACAGGACAATTTGAAGAAAATATATTCGTTCGTTAAAGGAAAGAGAAAAAAGGAAAAGAAAAAATATTAATACAAAATATATAAAACGTAATACTGGTAAGGTTTTAGTTCTGTTTTCTATTTTTTTTTTATACAAATATCTTGTTTTTCCAAATTTAAGTAGAGATCATAAACTTTTGGCTGGTAATGTATATTAATAAGCACGTTTTTCGATAATTATGCGAAACGTGAGTGAGAGAGTAAAAGAGAGAGAGACAGAAAATTACTTTTATTAACGTTAAATTTGATAGAAACGAATGTTCGAGAAAAACAAACTATCTAATCAATATATATATAACTGCTTACATACTTTTCCGCGTTAATATGATAACCCTAAAGAAGACCTCATAGCTGATATTATAATACTATTTTCATTATTAAATTATCTTGCTAATGAAAGAAAATAAATAAAGAAAAAGCAAAATGTAAAAAGAATGAAGAGAATAATAGATGAGCGACGAGTTTTATATATAAAAAAAAAAGAATCTAAAACTCGGTGTGTGTTAAGCTTGGTTATATATAATATTTTACAATGACAAGAAATTAAAAGATAATATTATAGTATGACAATGATGCGTACGTTGTCATAATTTTTAAAACGATTAGTAGATTTTAATTCTTTATCTCATACAATTTTTCTTCTTTTTTTTTTTTTTTTTTTTTTTTTCTAAAGAAAATATTATTTTCAAATGGACAAAGTATCCGTAATTAATTTTCACAAATAATTTTATTATTTTAACTACATCCAACGATATTATTATTATTTGGGAAAATTTCTTTTCTTGTAATTTTTTTAATTTCACGTATTATATTTTCTCGCATAATGCATCGGATAGAATTTTGTACAAAAAAATTGTTGCATTTTAATTATACTTATTTCTACTTATGGTTCTCTCTCTCTCTCTCTCTCTCTCTCTCTCTCCTTTTTATAAAATACAGGAATAAAATATTACGAAAAATACTGTATTCTTATTTTTAAGTATATTATATATTAAATATATTATTTCAATTATACTAATATAAAAAATGTGAAAATACTTTAATTCCAAATAGAATTTCTTTTTCACGTAAATACATGAATAAACATATTGTAAAAATTATTATTGATATCCTAAAATTAATAATTTTTAAATATATTATTTTATCTAATATATACGCGAATAAAAAATATAAATACAATTTCCTTTTTTTTTATTGTTTTATATTTCCAAATATATTTCTCACTACAAAAAAAAGTATATTTAAAATATATGACAGATCAATTAATTAAAAACCTTTCCATCTTTGATTCTTTTATTTTATTCTACGATCCCAAAAGACCCTTCGAATGAAAGATATTTTATATACATATATATATATATATACATGAACATATATAGATGAATAGATAGAAACAAGGAAGAGAATCGAGCTGACGAGCGTTAGGGTGAAAGGCCCCTTTCTAGCGGTGAATCAACCCTCGACACAAATCGATAAACTACCCCTGTTTCCATTTGTTAAGACCTTAGCCGTTCAAAGGTATTCAGAAGTGTTCAAGACAATTTATCTCGGCATATAAAAGGGTCACAACGATCTCTTCTATATACATCCTACACCCTACACCCTACACCCTATAGCCTATACCCTATACCTTCTAATCGTTTAGTTAATCGACCCGATAAAACCATCACCGATACAACATCAACCCCGTAAGAAAACAACAAAAACAAAACAAAAATAAACAAAAGAAAACAAATGAATGGGAACGAAACATTTTAACGAATAAACTTTACTATTACAAATCGTACTACATTACTATTTATTAAAAACAGTGTAAGAAGAAAAAGCCATAAAAATTTATAAATTAAATAATATTTATACAAAAGTGTCAATTCGATCGAAACCAAAGAAAACATTTAATTTCGCTAGAATAGTTTTTTATTTATTTCATTTTCTTTTTCTTCTTTTCCTTCGTTCAGAATAATATTCGCATCGAACGAATGCAAGGTAAATTGATTGAATAAGTAAATATAAATATATAATGAGGTATAATTAATTGATAGAAAACAAAAATTACGGATCGTAAATAAGAGAAACGTTTTATTAGACAATATATATATAACGATTTATAA